TTGTAATTACTAGACAATAATATTTTTGTAAAGTAAATTATTTTAGCGTTTAAATTTAATTAAGTTTGCAACGCTAGGCTGGAGTATCTCAAGTCTCATACATAAGCACGATATAATAAAGTAAGTAATATATGTAAATTTTATTGCTGAACATTTTTAATTAGAGCATAGCAAAATTAGGATTTTTCACTTTTTTTTGTTTTGGTTACACAAGATCCTGAAATTTTTATTGGTTCCGGACAAGAAATTTTAAGACCGAGGTCGATTTTCACTTAACATCATAATGGTACACTGGAAAGATAGGTCGGAATAATAAGAACTTTCGGAACTAGAAACCAAAAATACGTATTTCATAACATTAAACATTACACACTCACATAAAAAGTTAATAATCGATATTTTCATTAGCGTTAACTTAGTACAATATCGATATTTTTCGTTTATTTTTTCTTCCTGCAAAAAAATAAAAATAAAAAATAAATTACAAGACATATGAGCAGTTATTATTTCGTTAATTACAAGAAACTTTGAATATATCGAGCCTACCTTCAGCAAATATTTCCGTTAGGTTTAAGTATCATGTTGAAAATTGCAATGTTCAGCCGCTTAAAGATAATATTGAAATTTGTTTGTATTTTATTCATAGTAATTCAAAATTTATTTAAAAATTACACAGCAACAAAATTTAAATAAGCATATAATGCCTGTTAAAAAGTTGTTAAACGTATAATTGGTAATATTAACTATATGACAAATCTAAATCTTTTAACGATGGGCAAGTTAGTTCTCGACAAAATTCCTTATCGCAGTCGTAATAGGTCAAAAATTAGAGTTCTGCCGCATCAATTTAAAAAAAATTCATGTACAGAAAGAAAATATTGATCTAAAATGAAGAAGTATAATAAAAGATTAACCACAAAAAGAGTGCAGTCAACTCTTTCTATAAAGAAAAGTTTCTGAAAAAAAAACGTTCATTATAAAAAACACATGGCACTTCTATACCGAACTACTATGAAATACCAAAATTTTGAGTTCATTACATCCAGAGTCGACTGTACATAATTTATTGAAGAACATTACAAAAAAACTAACCAAATGGCTAAACAAATAAACTAAAGCCAAATGATTAAATAGAAATAAACTTATATTTTTAGAATGTCAAACTTCAAATTATTTGTATTATTTTATGTGTTGTATATATATTGTAAATTGCGTTAATATTGCTTTATATGACCGTTATTTAATTGAAAAATAGTCTTATCATTTGAAAAAAATACGTAGTCGATGACTTAATTTCCGGACCATAATCCGGACTATCATCCGAACAATCATCCGATCCCAACCTGGTACACAAATAAGTGCGTGCCTGTTAGCCATCTAGAAAAAACGTGACGTCGATCAAAAATTTTCTAGCCAATTAGCGTTAGAAAAAATATATTCTTTATTCGAAAAAAATATATGCGTTGGAGTTTCTATTGATAACTACTAATTAAATAGTTTTTAATCTTAATTTCACAAATCATTATCATATAATTTAATTAATAGTGAATTATTAATAGCATTGAGAATTGAATAATGTATTACAGGTTGTACGTATTGTTACGCAAAATAACGTAACGTATGTAATAATTAAACCTTGCGTTGTGTGACTACTATAGTACTGTAGTCTGTAATTAAGTAATGTGGCAGATTAAAATGAAATCAGATTAGAATGAAATAAGAGATAGTGTAAAATAGACAAGCCACCGAAAAATGCAAATTCTTGGGGTGCATTTTTTTAGCATTTTTTTAGGGTTAGGATTAGGGTTTAAAAGCAGTTTTATTATAAACAAGTATAAGTGGGTTTTAGGGGCTCAAATAGAAACCCTTCATTTCATTTTAATCCGATTTCATTATGATCTGCGACAAGTAATGATCGAAGCACTTGCGATAGTATACTTTGTCGATCATTACGACATTTGATAAGTTAACTCATATTTTGCGTATTGCAGGATAGTCCATTTGAGTCTAATTGTATGTATAAATAGAGACATATAGAACGTTTGTAAAGGTTAGCTAATTAGTTAGTTGGATCTGTAGATAGTACCTCTTTGACTTGGAAGTAAATAGAGAACGTTGGTTACACAGTTGTAGGTCTTGATTATTTTTCTTGTCGTGTAAAACATAATAAATATGATGTCCCTGAGTTAAATTGGTATTGATATAAGAAAGTCTCTCCCGCTGGACGTCACAGTATTAAGAAAATTTATTACAATTATTAACTTGGACACGCATGAATCTATATTATCAAAACAATTTATAAATCGGGAACAAAAACATCTCAATGGTATTGGAGAACAATGTTCAAATTAAGCTAAATAACATAGTATTAAAAATCTTGATATTAGATTATAAAGAATTGAAAGACATTTAAACATGCTTATATTTTTTGTTCGATTTCAATCAATGCTAATAATTAAACTTGAATTTGCATCAGAACATTTTACTCTGAGTATGTTTTGATTTCTGTTCATGTAAGTCCTTAAAAACTTAAACGACTTGATGGTACAAAGACTGTGGAAAAAGTTGTGCACCCTTTTGATGCTTCACCTTCGTTATCAGAATCGTCAAGGTCATTGATATTAGATTTGCTTTCTTGGATTAATTCAAGTGTTTGTGTAATAATTGATCTCGCTCTTAATATATCTTTTAAAACAAACCCTAACAGCAGATTATTTATGCTACCAGTAACCTCCCGAAACTCATGATGTTGAATTCGACTAATATATCCCATTGGAATATCCATAGTCAGGAGTTGTAGTCGATTTGCTCTATTTAGTATCCCAACAGTTTGTAATTTCTAAGAATTTCTTCATTATTGCCGCATTCTTTTGAAAGTTGAATTAACATATCATGAAGCATCTTGCACAACTTTAAGCTATCGTCAATATACTTTTTTCCATGTTCACCTTCCCACTTTCTTCCCGCCTCAATTGCGCCAAATTCTAATCTACTTTCTTTTAATCTAAATATTCCATCACCTTTTCTTCCAATCTTCTTTCGATTTGTCCTATGATTATCTTGATTTTTTCTATCACTTGAAGCTCTACTCATTCCATCAACACGTATTAAATTAATACTTGAATTACGAAACGCAGAATCAATAAGTGGGCCCCATATATTTAACTGATACCATCCTTCTAATTTTGATGGATCCAGAGCAAAGTTGTCGTCATCTTCCCAGAATGTGTGCATAATCTTGTATGCGACATGAATGTAATTTAAATCAAAGTGCTCCTTGTTGGAGTATGAAGTGCCGGTAGGCAAAAAGGGATCAAAAATAATTTTTCGAAACTCAGTTAAGTCAGTTACTGAATACTTTTTCATAAGATTAATGATTGATTTGTCAATCTTTGGCATCTTTTTAAGTTCAAATGCGAATATTTCGTTCCAGTCTTCCTCACTAAATAAGGACTTCGCTTCTTCATCAGTGTCATTGATAATAAAAGAATGTAAACATGATTCATATGATAGGCTCCGTGCGTATTCATATAAAACTTTTTCAACGACAGTGCCACTCTTAAGCTTCCACATTTTTCGCGGATCCAATTTATAGTATGCTTTATCAAAATCTGTTAAATTAGGAATTTCTGACTCATCTCCACTTATATTATTATCACTAATGTTATCTACATTTGTGGATCGTGTAGGTTCTTCATTTTGCTAAATCAAAAAATTACAAAAAATTATTTAGATCTATAATTACAATAAAGCGATTAAAATATGTAATATACTTATTTTAACGTTATTTACATGATCCGAATTGGAAGTCGTCACCACTTCTTCATCTTGATCAATAGGTACTGACACTTTCATTTTGTTTTTAATTATGTTGGTTGAAAGTTCTCCTTCTTTAATTGAAGCATCTTTACTTCCTTGATTTATTCCAAGAATTATATTGCTGTCGTTAAACATTTGGGTTGATCCTCCGGTTGCCAGATGTTTTATCTTCTTTACCTAAGTTTGTAAAATATTAATTAGCATTTTTTTTTTTCGTCTTCTAATTTTAAGCAAACCGAAATGTGTACCAGGTTACAACTAATTAATTAATATCGGCCCATATTTAAAATTTAATGTTAGGTTAGCTTGAGAGGGGCAAATTTAAACAAAGTCTATACAACAAATTATAAGTAGAAAAAAATTTTTATAATATTAAGAGTGGTTTTATAGACAAAATTTTGAAGTAGGAAAAAAATACTTTTCTTAATTTTATTGATCAACCCGTTACACACTTCGGTCGTGCAATTTTTTAACATTAAAAACCCACTTGCAAACGCAAGCTGGGACTGCTAGTCTTCAGTAATGAACTGTTAGTTTGACACTTAGTGCAAGCTGGGATTGCTAGTCTGAAGGATAGTTCCTAGTTCAATGCTGTGTATATTATATATGTTATGTAGTTATTGAGATCGTTTTGTAAATATAACTATTAATTATGTATTGCATTTCGTTATCCAAGATTTGGACTACACAACAAAATCTAAAACGTTCTAATGATACAACAATCGGGCACTAAGTGTCGAACTAGCAGTTCGTAACTGTTGGACTAAGTTCTTAACTCATTTCTATTTTAGATCCAGATGAGCAGTTCAATACAGTTGGACTAGATTCCTATTCAAGTACTTAGCTTAGTAATAAATCTACCTTCCAATCATCAAGAATATCTTGTGCCTTTTTTTTATATGACATATCAGAGTTTGAGTTTGCCACTTCTTCGAGGTCTTTTTTTATGCAATCTAGAACTTTTCTTTTATCTTTATGTTTCGACTTCGAACGGTAATATTTCATTAAGTTTGTATACGTCCAGTCCTCGACTGGGGTTTTGTAGTAAAATTCCTTAAGGGCAGGCGTTAATTTCATAGACATACTTATGACGCGACTTTATTCTATGACTCATTTTATTTAACATTTGATCGATTTTAATAGGGGAATGATTCATAGGCGGACATTCGTATGATTGGCTGATGTAAATCAATTGCCCGGGTAACTTATTTATACACTTTAAAGTACT